TTTACTGAACTTTGACATTATTACTGGTTGATAAACTGTCAATGGTGGTTATAGCTGTTATCTTCACTCTGCCTTTTGTTTGAAGTCTGCTAAGACAGACACGTTTCCTATTTCCTTCTGGCGTCCAGTATGCGTCGATATTCCGAGAAGCGCCGCCAAAAAAGAGCTCCGGGCAGCTAAGAGGTAATTTAATTCTCCCACTCGAACTGAAATTTAAATACAGATAGAATCATTTTTTTTTTGTTTGTTTCATTTAAGGATACACTATTATTTAATAGTTATAAGAATTGTTATCCCTTCCAGTCGGGTTATTTGAACCCCGGAAATACATTAATGACTAACTTGTACACGTACTTCCATTACGCGCCATTCTAAGAAGAGATTATTGGTGTGAATTACTTCATTATCTTGGAAATAGGTACGTTTTGGAGTGCAGATGTGTCCCCTTGGCTTTGCATTTGCTAAAGGACTATAACAATGCTTTCCAGTTAGTGTGAACAAACGGACAAACCAAGAATTGACCATTTTTCTTCTAAAAACACTGGTCTTGCGTGTGTGATTCTTGGCAAAATGCCAGAAATTTGAAAAAAACATTTTGTCATCCTGCAATGTGATACTGAAGAAGGGTTCCTAAGACTTCGGAATGGGGTATACGGAGGGGGGGGGGGAGGGGAGAGGGTATAAAATTCAATGAGCACTCTTTGACTTTTCAAAGTCATTTCATGGATGGCTTGCTTGTTTAACGGAGCGTCAAAGAAATCTTTCAACGACGCAATTAAGGTGCTGTCAAGCGTTTACAAGTGTCTCGTACAAATGTGCAGGTATACAATCGCAGAACCTCAGGTCACAAAACCCAACGCTGTTAAAATGACCTTGACGCTTTTGTTTTCCAAATTATATTTAGTTTCCTGTAAACATGACTGTTGTATATCATCGACGGCTTAAAATTTCTAATAGAGGAACAAAGAGTGCTTTATGAATTACTTTTACCACATTGCTACAACAGTTCTGGGGCTCTCTTTAATCCTGGTTAAAAAGATTCTCTGCCATCAAAAAAAAAAAACAAAGAAAGACAAATGTATTAAGAAGATCAAAGAAGATACCACACTCTTGCATCCTGTGTTTCAAATGTGCGATTATTCCATATAACCAGTTACTGCCCATGCCTAGTGACGTGGAACCACAGGTTCTTGTTATGGCTACTGAGATGGAACAAGAAGTCAATGGGCAGTTTCCATCCCACTAAAAATTCCTCTTAGTTTTTGGAGTCTATAGCAATATTACAATACGATACCCAGTCATAATTAGCAAAATCATGTTACTTCAGAAAAAAGAAAGGGTTGGCAATGTCAAAACTGATTGAAATATTGGTTTGAAATTGGAATTCATTTTGCTTTTTTTAATAAATAAGGCTATTCTTCATATGACTGTCATCTTTGTCGTTTTCTTGACACATTTACAACTCCTTAATGTGGTGTCGAGTCAGAGTGTGTTTTAAAACATTTTGCTAACAATACCGTTTCTTCGTTATTGCATTCCACGGGTTGTAGCAGTCGTTTATGAGTTTAATTTATCTTATGATCTGAAGTACTTGGTTCTCTATTAAATGAGAATTGTAACAGTTGTGAGTAGCTTTAGGAGTGAGACATCGCACAATTGGAAATAATTTGCATTTTAAATTCCACATATTGTGCCCCCGAACCGGTTCAAGATCATTCATTTGTTATTGTTAGAAAAGGAGACACCGAGATCTGAGAATTAACGATTAGAATTTAATTATACTTAACTTGAATTCTGCAATGATACCAATATGTATATATCTTAAATGTACAGGCGCGAAACGGATGAAGCATTGGATTTGCTCAAGGGAACAAGGTCCTTTTTCTGACGATTTGAACATTGTCCCGGTGGATTACAATTTTAGAATAAGACGCTGGCTAACAATTGGGGAGTTTTATGCATGGTACCAAAACGAAAAGATCCAATACACTTTTTTTTCGCAGCACATATAGTTGCATTGTGGTGGGCACTTTCCCAATCAGGGTACGGATTGGCGAAGTTAGACGATAAGAGAGGCTGAAATGTTAACCCTCGGACGTACAAGATAACTCATACCCCTCACAGTGGTACAAGGGGAGTGGGGTGGATGGAACCTCCATCTGGGTTTTCGTTCTGTTAAGGCAGAGCGAAATAAATTTACACTGATTAGATAACCCTGAGATTGCTCTACAAGATGATTCCATTTTTTATTGATAATTACGTCATATGACGTCAAATGACGTAATTTGATGCGCCATCTTGGATTTCACTACTTTATTTTTTAAATTAAAGGAGAAGGTCACTCTCATTTTGTCTTCGCCTATAGCAAGTAAACTTGCAGCTTTTCCACTCACCTAAGTTTCAGCCTCTGCAGTGCCCGCTGTCCTGAAGAAATTCGTCTCGAAAGAAGTGACTTCGGAGGCCGCCATTTTGAAACTGTGTTGGCAGCCTGGCTGTGTTTATGTGACGTCATTCCGTCCGACTCGAAATTGGCAGAAAAAAGAAAAACCTGCAACTGGCTTGGCATCCTTCACAAGTTCAGCTAAATCTTTTTTTCCAAGCGATTATCCACTTCACTATCTTCAATGCTATCATTTCGGAGTTTGGAGCATGTTTGACTCAAAATATTATGGCTCAAGAGCAGCCATAACCCAGAGTGAAGGTTAAAAGGCTCTTCGGAAGCCATTTGGACAAAATCTTTTGGACGGAATGACGTCACGAAAACGCGGCCTGGTTGCTGAGTACTGTTCAAAATGATAGCAACGATGTTCGAATTTTGGGCTTCTTTGGAGACGAATTTCGTATGGAAAACGTGCACGTTAGAGGCTGAATTCGAAGTCTAAACTTAGTTCAAGGTTTTTATCCGCGTTGACAAAAAATATACGTAGAATTAATCGAAATTAAAACAAAATCAAGTTAGAATGCTTGTAAAATGTACAAATTCATGAATACCTGTTAATACAGTATTATCTCGAAAAGCTGAGTTTTGGTCAGACCTACGTGAAATTTGATGGCTGCCATGGCAACGTCAAAAATGATGGACACACAATTAACATATCAAGATTTCCACAGTGAATGAAGGAACAGCTACTGGAATTTTCAGCCCCTTAGAGTTAAGTAATTGTCTTTCTTTTAAAAAAGCTGATCTTTGGTCAGACCTACGTGAAATTTGATGGTTGCCATTGCAACGTCAAAATTGATGGACACGCAACTAACATATCAAGATTTCCGCAGAGAATGCAGGATCAACCCTGTACGTCTGAGGGTTAAGGACGCGTAACAAAGAATCAAGACTTCTTTTATAAATAAATTACCATTTCATAATTTTCTCTATCTATCTGATTCACATTTTTGTTCGTTGTATAATTGGCATGCATACATAGCATACGTGTAGCTTATCAAAGACCTGCAGCTAATGGCATATATTAGAATTGCGCCTATTGGTTGCACTTTGATCTTGCTGCGAGTCATTTTCAGTCCATGAATGGTGTAAGGTAATTATCCGCCCTCAGGACTACACTAGTCATCTGGTATGCGCATTTCTATTAATTGATGATTATATATATTAATTCTAATTGATAAAATCAATTTGGTTAGGTATTTGCATGAAAAAACTCCTGAAATTTGTAGTAACTATTTCTCTTTTAATTTTAGCCAAAACATTAAAGTCGAGATTGGTATGCAAAAGGATATATAATATAATTATTTTTCTACATTCGCCGCAAACGAGATCAAAGGAATTAGTGAATTTTCACTTGCGTTTTTCGTATTGATTGCTACGGGATCAAGGATATTTTCTCGTTCCCAAAACATTTGGCCGCTATATGTTGATACCAAGCTTGGTGATCTCTTCAGGCCTTAAGTCGGTTATGACTCCGGCAATGGCAATTATCTTTGGGATTGCAGGGTTTATCAATACCCACGGAATCGTTCTAGTCGGAGGGAAAACTTTTTCCTAACACTATAACTACAAACAGATCACATCTAGTGTGTCGGTCTCTTATGAATCACTGTCCTCCTGTTACTAATTCGACCACCAGTACTTTTATCCAGCATTGGTTTTGCTGGTGCTTTTACCTTTCTCATGTCACTTAAGTATTTCCTTTGGTCTTGGTAGCGACGTTTTTTCAGTTCCGCTGTATTGCTTCGTGGTAAACAACAGTCATGATGACAATAGTAAAGGCAGTTAAAAGGCCTACATTCAGACGGACATGGTACTTTAATGGTAAAATGGGAAGAGACAGCCGACTTGTTAAGATCAGACAATCCAGAAGCACGCTCTGAATAAGCTCTGCAGCATGTCTCGTCGCAATTTGGATAACAAGATCGTGAACAACCAGAATGGCAAACAGCTGCTGGAGGAGGAAGAGGAAACGAAGGAGGATTTGGACCCGGTTGTCGCTCTCTTCTTGTTGGACTAACTGCTGGAACGTTTGCGTTCGAATGTTCGTTTTTAAAGCCAGCTCTACAGCAACTTATCGTGCAAGCAGGAAAGCATTCAGAAGCACAACCACCGGGGCAAAGGGGTGAATTAATTGATGGACGAGTAGCTACCAAACGTGTTGGTGTTGATGATATCACCGTTCGACCACAACATCGCAAAGGACACGATGGCCCGCAGTCGCGTCGGCAAACGGACGGGCAATCTTGGTTGGTGAGAGGAGGTTCCTTAGCAAAGAAATTGTTGTATGACTGTTTGGCTTTATCGGGTGCTACTGGTTGTTGTGATAGTTTTCTAGAAGTCACTTCTCCCCTCTGACAACAGCTTTCCAAGCAGTTTGGATAGCAATAGGCTGGACAAATGGGTGTACAGGCAGCAGGAGGCTTAGGTAAAGAGGTAGCTAGAGCCTGAGTTCTAGGAGGTTGAGATACTGGTGAAGGCTTTGCAATTTTGATTTGCTCTGTTGGATTGTGATCTGCTAATGATGAAGTGGTATTTTTTGAGCAACAAAGCGGAGGACAGGTTTTAGAGCAGTACAACGCACATGATGGTTGGCATTTCAACGGATTTCCTACTTTGATTAACGTCTTTCCCTCAGATTTGTCGCGGCAACATTTCATGGGACAAATATGTAGACACGACTTGTTGCAATAATCTGGACAGAGATCATTTGCTTTGTTGTGACTTTCCGCAACACCAACCTCCTTGATATTAAAGTGGTTTTCTGTGCGTACGGTCTTAGGTTTTGTAGGGCTAACTGTTTTTAGTTTATGATCGTTTGCTTTGACAGGAAATTTGGCGAAATGTTTGGTACCATACAGATTACCATACATGTTGTACATCATATTCAAAAAGTTCATCATACCAAACCAGCTCATTGCATTTCTGAAGAAATCGGCACTATTCTTGCTCTCGCCCTTTAGTTTCTGAAGATCTACACTTTCTGAAGTTGCAGGATGAGTGGAATTAACTTCACAGCAGATTGGCGGGCAGTTTGGATTACACTTTGCCTTACAGGCTCTAGGGCAAAACTTTTCTGCCATAGTTTTCATGAAGTTCTCTTGAACCTGAGGGTCCATCATTGGAATCAGGTGTTTAGCCCCAGGAAGATGACAGCATGTTTTAGGACAGGATGGCTGACAGTTTTCCAGGCAAATGAATGGGCACTTTCCAAGACAACATCGAACAGGGCAAGAATCACGACACTCCGACTTACATTGCGCTGGACATTCTGCCTCGTCCTCGATAAGGGGTCTTGCTGCCATTTCTGAAACTGCAAATCCTCCAGCAGGATTTTTCAAGTTCACAGCTTCCAGGTTGGTGGATTCAGAGTCAGCAGGGCGCTGTTGGAAGTCAGATGCAAAGTTCGCCACGTGTTCATTCACTTTGCCTTCTGGTTTAAGGACAACTACTGTTGGGCGGGGAGTAGTAACATTTTTCTGGGGCGGTGCATTAGGTGGTATATTTATCTCCTGAAGATTTCCATCGTTGTAGTGAATCTTTAGAACTCGATGATGTTTGCAGCAGTTTGGCGGACATCCGTCATGACATCTCGTGGCACACTGAAGGGGACAGTTTCTGTGTGTTATCTTGTATGCTGTGTATAAAAATGAGAAAAAACACAGTGTTTGTTTCTGCCATAACAAAGAACATGCACGGACATGGATCAATGGGAGCAGCACCGAAGGAAGGGAGACTTTTGGATGCTATATTTCCGATACCCAGGTGACGGTGTGCAAGAAATATTCTTTTTTTCTTTTTTTTCAAATCAACTCGTATAACGTATAAAGAGAACAATACCATCATCCTGTTACACGAGGCGGGAATCCATGACTTAAAGAGGAGCTTAATCAATAAAAGCTCGATTTCTGATCCTTGCTGACGAGAAAGACAGAAATAAGCAGACGGACTTACGTGCACATTCATATCCGTTGAAGTAATGATGATGATCACACACACAGAACCCTTTGATGCATTTTCCATGTTGCTTGCAGCCAGGTAAACAAGTGTCAGCTGTAGGATTAGTAAAAAACTGGTAAAATAAATATCCCTCTTACTGTGAATGCTAAGAAATACTTGATCCCACACGCCAGGAAATTACTGATATAGAACAATTATCCTTTATTGATTTAATCACTTTTTACCATTTTTCTTGGTAAAAAAAAAAATCAATAGCATGGTCAAACGATGCATCAGAATTTTACTCCATGGTTGTGGATAAAAAAAATAAAAATAAATTTGAAAAATCTGAAGCGAAAACCAGCAGAAAACTAATTATAATACTTAGACAAATAAACAGCCGGGAAAACTGAAAGCTTAAAAGCGAAAGAGTCGAAGTATCAAAGAAAATAGCTTTTACTAAGGTCTGGTTTTCACTTGGGCACAAGCGTAAGCGTGAGCAGCGTACGCATGCGCATAAAGGTGTTACTAAGTACTTCCTTTTGTTTGAAAATTCTCGTAACAAACGGCGCGAATTATAAACATCTTCTTCTTCTGTTCACGCGTCAGTGAAAACCAGCCTTAACTATTTATTATTGGAAGCGACATGTTTAAGGTTACATCGGAAATGCTTAGAGTAATCAAGGGTAGCGTGAAAATACTTACGGCGGCAGTCGAATCCATCACCAGTGTAACCCGTCTTACAGACGCACTGTCTTTGGATGCACTTAGCATTGTAATGGCATTCTTTACATTCACTGGGTGGGGACTGTTCACCTGACATAGAAACGTGCAATATTTGATTCGTACGGGCCCCACTGACAAAAATGTTTTTTGCTTTTATTGATTTTTTAAAATTTATTTGACTTGTTGTTTACCCCAATTCTTAGAGATAAATGCAGCTTTAATTGCTTTGATATTCGTGAGAACTATCCAATGCGTTATGCGAATCAATTATGAGAATCACGAACCTGCATTAATTTGCAATACAATACAATGCAACTTAAAAACTGGCGAGAAAAATGCTCACTCCCGGCTAATGGCAATGAAGTAATTTCCCCGGTCATATAATAAATATACTGAAGTAATCAGGAGAAAGTCAAGTGGCTTGCTGAACAAATGAGCCTAATATTCTTCTGTGTTTGAAAGATATAATATCCTTGGGAAATAATACCATATGCAAAGCTTTAAAAACAGTAATGCAGCTGATCATGATTTTAGAGACTGGAAAAATGGCATTCTTTTCAAATACCAAAATATGATGACGTGTACATGAAAGTGTAGAAGATGCAATAAATTACGTCAAAATGTAAGCCCGGAAAACAGAGTAACTATATTTGCATGTTAGGCCATTAAGCAATAATTAGCTAGTTTAGTTGCATTTTCAGTATAATGACATAAACGTTCATTCCTCGAGAAGGTTTTTAGGGAATCAGGAAAAAAATGGGAATGGTATACCAGTTTATTTGGCTGTTTGCAACATTAGATTCTTTTCTGGCGTGCGTGCCATAAGAACCGAAAAACGTGTATTGTTTATGTAGTATGTATGCATGTTATGATTTTCGCCACGTAATCCTGGATTGTGTGGTAATTAATGAAAATTGTAAAGTTAATCTCAACCACAGTTCATGCATACCTGGTTCCGGACCAGACAGAGCATTCAGCATATGGGCCAGCGGTTGGTCGTCGTTGATTATGCACACTTTGTCTATGCATCTTGCATGAGGAGGACATCCTTTACATCCTTTGACTGCGCATCCACAAAAGAAAACTCAATTCACGACTGTTTACATCGTTTGAAACAGTCATTTATCATTAACTCTTGAGAGTATTAAGTTTTAATTGACCTTAATTCATTTCACAATTTTCTTACATTAGTTAGTTATTGTAAAGCTTGCGTTAATGCATAAGAAAGATTAGGCGAAAATCATCTTTAACCAAATCGAGCTTTCGATTGAGGAAAAAAATCCATGTACGCGTAAAAGTGCGCAGCAATAATAAATGTTAAAATGTTTTCTAATATACTTGTCATCCAGCGATTTTCATTTCCAGAAAAGAAGTTGTGACCTTTAAACTGTGTTTTGCGGTACGCGTAATCAAGGGAAGTAAATGGATTGAAACTGGTTTGGTAAACAGGTGTCCCATAATGCAGATTCGCTTTGGGTTTGTATAAGCGCCGAATGTTTAGTATAGAGAGAGTAGTAAGAACATTTATGTTACAATTTACCTGCCATTGGGCCGTTCTTGTTTGCAATGTCAACAATCTTGTTAAAATCGTCATCGAGTGACGGCATCTTCTCCCCAATGCCTGCCTGTTGTAATTGCTGTCCAGCAAAGTTAAAAGAATTTTGATTGTCTGTAGATGTGGTACCTTGCGATTGTTGATTTTCCTCTAATGCAGTTGCGTCACTATTGGTACCCTGGTCATTCATTGGAGCATATCCATTGACTTCTGTACCAGTCACAGCTTGGTCATTGTTCCCGTTATCATCTATAGCGGCGGTCTGATACCCAGAGGGGGCACTTACAGTTCCCGCTCCCATAAAACCATTGTTGCTGGTTTCTCTGGAATCTGGCCCCCCACCGATATTGATGACATTGGCACCATCGTTTACACCGAGGCTCCCTTGACCATCACCTTCTTCGCTGCTGCTGTCTTGTGGGGACACTGAAGGCTCTTTAAGCGCTTCTTCGATGGAGGAGGCGTATTGAACGCCGGGTGGCGCGCTCTTATCTCCCCCTTCACTAGGCTGCTCGTTTGCATATGTTACTGTTCCCTGTCCTTGTTGCTCAGCAGTTGTCTGTTGACCTTCTGTTCCGAACAGACTACCAAGGGAATTGGTGGAGGTCGTGAAACTCTGCGTTTCAGAGGACGCAGCCTCCGGCTCTTGTGACTCCTCCGATGGCTGCTGCTGTTGCTGCTGGTATTCCTGTGCTTGATCCTGCTGCTGCTGCTGCAATTGGTCATCAAAGCCTTGTGACTGCTGCTGACTAAGCTCCTGTGTCTGCCCCTGTTGAAATCCCCCTTGATCAAAACCAGTTTGAGTTCCACCTTGTTCCGGAGCTCCTTCCTGAGCACCTTGCTGTTGACTTTGACCTGCTTCTTCGCTCTGGTATTGCAATTGCCCTCCGTCAATAATCTGACTTGCCTGTCCTCCCAGTTCCCCACCTTCAGTCCCTGGTCTCGCATTATCCTGTTCTTGTCCTTGCTCCTGAGGCTGTTGAGTGTAAGCCTCTTGCTGTAACTGAATGGCCTGTTCTAGACTGGTAGGCTGCTGTCTACCTTCGCTTTGACCAACGTCTTCGCCATTATTACTCACAAAACTTGCAATAGCTGACTGGCTGCTGTCTTGTTGATACCCTGCGCTATCGTACTGCGATATTGAATTGCCATCACCGATCGGTTGTTGCTGTTGAGATGGATCCTGGTCTTTAACATCTCCTGTTTGGTCCCCCTCAATTAATGGAGAATACCCTGCCGCTAAAGCTTCTTGTCCACCAGTAGCAATCGGTTGGTAATCTAAAGACTGCGCCTGAAGTGGAGAAAATGTTTGAACTAAAGCATACTTTTTAAATAACTTTTTCTTTTTCCTCTTAGTATTTCCCTTCGGATGAAAGTCGCCAGGCTTTACTGGAATAGAGTTGTTTGTCAGTTTTGACTTCTTAGCGTGTGTTAACCGCCTTTTGCTTTTCCCATTGGCAACATTTTTATTTTTATGTTCTCTTGATTTTTCAGTTTGGTGAGTCCGAGCAGATGGCTTCCTGAATTTGTCATCAGCTTTAGCAGCCATGTGTAAAGGCACATCTTCCTTGTGGCTGATGTTGTGCTCTTTGTTTAAGCCTCTGCGGTCATGATAATTTTCTGAAGAGCCTGCAGAATCCAGTTGCTTTTTTGGCGAAGAGGAGTTTTCTCTCTTATTTTCTGGAGTCTTTCCGCGATTTAAGTCCTTTTCTAGAACGTTCTTGCTTCCATTCTTTCTTGGAATCGAATTCTTCGCTGACGATTTTTCATTACTTTGTCCAAGATGCGTTTCTCCTTGGCAAGGGTACTCAACTAACAACTGAAAAACGCATAACAGAAAAACTGGCTCAAAATACCTAAAAACTTTCATATTTTGACTACATATCTTTCTCCCTGTTGTAGTAAAAACACAATTCTACAATTAATAATACAAACAATTGTGTCTTTCAAGCGAGAAATATAGGTAACACGAAAACAATTCGGTGTCCGGTGGCTTTTGTTTGCTTTTCATTAATCACATGCCAAGTTCAGCGTTCTACCTGCTAAGCAGTTAAATATTTAGCTTCTGATTGGCCCAGCGGAGGTCACGGAGATCGTTAAGCTGGTTGCCTTGTTGTGGTCCAGTGCCTGCTTACTCGGAGTGACACTTAAGAGTGCAGGTAAGTTTTCGCTTAACAGAATTAGTCCAGTCGGCGGCTATTGTGATAACTTAGAGCAATAATAAATGTATCGAATTTAAAGGTATTTGGTTTAAATCCGAGTTAATTAGAACCAAATACGCAAACAAGTGGTACTTTGATATCAAGTCTTTAATTACGAAAGGGGATCAATTTCAGACATAAAGACAAACAAAAGGCCCCAAATTACGTTAAACCATCATAGTGCTTATATTAATATTGATTCACCGTCAGCTTCTAATTGAAACCGAGATTATGAAAGGGACCTCTTTACAGAGCTAATAAGCTTACCCTTTAACTGCATTTAAACTGATATGGGACTTAGATATCGTCTTTGTCCCACGCTTGTAACATGGTGAACGTTGTATCCTCTTGCATTTCACTTCCGGGCTTAAAGTGTAGCAGCTTACTATCATCATTACCGTACGGTAAGCTCTGAACGTTGCAGGTCCTGGCGGCATGAAGGTCTCCCGTCAGTGCGAGCCTGGTAAATGGCGTTGCTCGCCGTGAGACCTTTTTGTACTTTGGCATAGAGGGCATTCGCTCGGTGTTTGGGAAGTCATGGGTTCTACTCTTGTGAGCGACTTCGATTTTTTTTTTCTTTTTTCGTTTTCTGCATAATGAGCACTGCATCTCTCTCATGGGCAACGCTGTTACAAAAACCGCCAACTTCTTTAAACCTGAGGAATCTATCACCGCTAATCCAGTATTGACAAGTTAAGTCACACCATTCCTACAGTGGAGTGGCACCTAAGTAAAATCCATCTATAACTACATACATGATGTTCAGGGAAAGTAATGAGGCATAACAGGCCAATTTTAGAACATTTTTTTTTTTATCAAAGTATCTCAGAAATGCGTCACAATAGCGGCAAATATTGATCTCATGGTCAACGAGTTTGTTTATAATTGTAGAGGCAACGAATATCTTATTGTCCCTAAAACGCGCTCTGGCTACGTTTTAGGAAACGTCACTGGGTTTTATATTTCGATATAGGCCATTCGCTAAATTTAGTCATAAGAAGCCTAATTAGTCGGAGCAGATGTCAGAAAAACACTTTTGCCGGTTGAAGGTTAAATCCAATAAATTATAAGTCTATGTTTAAACTAAATCCTACTCTCGGTGAAGCTCTAGACTTCACGTTCTCTTTCCTAATTGATTGTCTCAATAACGGTAATTTGAACAAACTTCATATTAATTTGATTTGTGTCTGCAAATGATTTTTGCTTGTCAACTTGGACAACTAATGGATATTACTGAATCTTGTGGCACATTAGGCAGGTCAACAAGAATGGCGTGACTGCTGTGCCTCGCCTATTGCTTTTTAAGTTTTCCTGATCATGTTCTTTTTTGTATATTGTTCACGACTGCATGATATTAATTTCGACGCGCTTAGCCCCACTCGTTCGCAACATTTTGAAATATTATTTACGTACATTGTGTAATGCTTGTTGTCGATCTGCTCCATTGTTGTCACTTCTATCACCATATCACCTATGTCAACACTAACCACTCCTTCCACATGTCAAAATGGCAAGTAAAACAAAGGAAACCAAATAGGGTCAAAATAAGCAGGGATATGAAGCGGTTAAGCAAATACAACCAGCCACACTACGCATTCAAGTGTCTAATAATGGAATTTTCCACGCAACTTTTCACTGGGTTTTAGGGTTGTATGCAGTCGACAGACAGCGACAAAAAAAACTGTTTAAACTGTTTCCTACGGCCTTCATTCGACCGCAATGGAGTTTGCACACATGTAACAGCGATTGTTGCTGTACACATCAATTTTGTTATATTGTTAATAGTTGGGAGAGTGTAATTGTACCTGAAGGAATTAAAACAAAAACCCGAAATGGATGCCCCACCCCTTTAACCCCCCCCCCCTTTTTTTCGGGTAACAACCCCCAATCTTGCCATATATTCTACCGGTAAAAATGTTCGCCTGTGAAAAATCGCAAAAGAAAGACTCTTTTTCTAGTTTAAATGCCAGGAACCAGATAAGTAATTTGCTTTTCATTTTCGACCACTTTTCTCTGACCTTTATTGCTCAAATCCATCATACTGTATAGAAATGAAGTCTATAATGTTCTCCCTCGAAAAAAATCGAATATTTACAGGTTGTAAATGAAAAACAAACACACAAAAAAACGAGCAAACAAATAAACAACAACAAGAAGTCAGGTTGGTGCTGAAGTATAGTCGAAAATACTTTTTTTTTTTGGTTGCTTTCTTTTTACGTATCAATGTAGTCATATGAGCCTATAAATAGTAAATATAATAGAAACCGTCAAGAAAGCTTCTCCTCAGGGTGTCTGCCGCATAATTGGAGTCTCCCGCTATCCAACAATGTCGTTGATATTGACCTGCTTGATTCCATTATTGCTTTCGGGTTATTGCCGAATAAAAGTAACAAAGCAAGCAGAAATCACTGCTCTTTAAATTGTCTCAAACGCAAGAAAAGAGTCGCGAACTCTAAGCACGTCCTATTTGAAATCCATTCACCCATCGTTGTTTGTTTGGTAGTTTCTGTTATATCAGCTTGTTTTGTCACAAAATACAACTCATGATGATGCATAATTCCTTTATTAATCTTATAAATGAAGACTAAGACTAAAAATAGTACTGGGCCATTGCTTTTTTAAACTAAAACATTTATGTCGCTTTAAGATCCAACCCAGATTTAACATTTATAACAAGGTTCATGATATATGTTTGCGTGGATGAGCCGCCATTTTGACCCTTTTAGGCCTGATGTCTACATAGAGGGTTCTCATTCCTGGACACTGTACAGTCCTTATAAAAAAATTTACCTATGCGGATTGGAACGTATAGTTAGATTACCTTACAATAACTGTAAGAATTTTTAGCGTTTTCGCTGGCTCAGTTTCATTACTAGCAGGAGAGAAACGAGCGCATGCTCAGGTTATTTAAATTTGCAATGGAACTCAAGCTAGCAAACAGAACGGTGATTTCTAATGTTTTAAAATGCATGTCTCGACTTCTTATTGCAAATTGTCGAAAATTATGTATGAAACACATATAGACAGGCGTTCTCAATCTTTTAAGATACAGAGGTTGTTACTGAACGATTCATAACTCTTGGAAACCTGCTTAGGACGACTGGCAAGTCAGTGTATTCATCACCGATCGACTCCAGGTACATGTACATGATTTCTCAGAGTTTGTATACATCGTTAGCTAAGGATCCCCCAACTCCATCAGCGCATTTCTCTGACGAACCATACGTTTTGTAAGTATTTTCGTCTGCGCCACCAAAACACTGTCCTCCATTTTGTATGGCAAACACTCTAAGACCAAGCCTTTTAGCCACGTCTGCGCACTTGCTGATTGGTTGCTTCCGTTCGTGGTAATTATCAGCCAGGAGTGGATCCAAACCTTCCATGACCATCATTGCACGTTTTGAAGGGTCTCGCCAGTCAGTGGTATCAGCCCAGCATCCCAAGCTACGGTATTCTGTGACTATGATGTCTTCTGTTTGGGAAAGGAAAAATTGTATAAGGAACAAAAGACTGGAAATCAAAGCTTTAAAATCAGTAAATAGTAGATAGCGATCTTTAACTATGTCTATGTGCTTCCCCTAACAGTAGCCGCAGATTGAATAGTACTTAATCTCCACTAAAAGATCGACATTCACTATTCGTGCTCTTTCTGCGGCAAGTGCTCATTACTCAACGTTCCGTACAACATTTTTGTTACCGATCTTAAGCAGTATTTAATATCTGTTATATAACCATTCTGCTCCTACCCTAGTGATTTGTAAGCGTTTGCAAGAATTCTACGGTTTAGTTTTCACTGCACGCTTTCTTTTAACAGTTTTAAAATACTGACAATGACTTACCTGCTTGGAAGCCGCAAGCAGTCAAATATTGCTTTGGCTGGTTGGCAACTCACCCATACAAAATTCTGAATTTGTCTATCTTATTAATTTCACCGAAACGTGGCAAGACATTTTATTTTCAAGGTCCCTAGCTAACTGTCACATAGAGCATTTGTTTTGTTGAATGCATCTGTAAGAATGATTGCTAAATGAAATGCGAAAACAATGACTTTACAAAATAGTTTTTCAACGTAATATAAGGTAGATGTTTACTTTCTAGTTCAGTACCTGACCACTGTTGTCCATTTCGTGTAACTGGATTTTCTGCTGGAGGAGGAATTTCAAGCTTTGGCCCATGCTGTAATGTTTTTCGGGATATATCATCATTCGCTGAGGGTTAGATATATACAAACGTTAAATTGCAAGCTTTTAAATGTCCTGTTTTTTTAAACCTGTTATCAATTTTACCCACCAAAAAAAAAACCTTTACTTGATAGTAATCATAATATCCTTGCCCCTTGCCATATCAGTTCTTAATATCGCAAGATGTCAGGACAGGAGACACGGCTTCTAATTGGCTAATTGCGAATTTGGGTACAGCAAAATGGACTGAGTAAATAGGTACGAACTCTAGACTATTAGGAACAGAACCATAGTAACATATTGCTCACATCAGAAACCCGTTCGAGTAATTTAGGACTACTTACCGATACAGGCGCGTTTTCCAGTATTGCTCATGAAATAGCCAGGATTACAAATACAGATATCACCGCTGATTGTGGTGGAGTACGGCGGACATTTATTTTTTGGTTTAACTGAAAAACAAACCTAACATTTTCTTATTCCTGAGCACCACTTCAGTTAGATGCACCCAGTTTAAAGCTTTTTCACAATAACATAATTTTTGGGTAAGAAACGGGAAAAGTGGGCTTGCTTCAATCTTTCCGAAGCCGGGAAACGTTTGAACTGGACTGAAGAGGGTGAAAATGTCTATAAACTTCCTTTTCTAACCCCTTTTGATGAGCTCTTTATGTGTGCATTTGTTTGCTTTGTTTGTAGAGGCCCTTCAAATCGGCTTTTACCCCAGTGAATCGAATGGCAGTAGTACCGGTTGGGGTGGAAAATGTAGAGAAGACAGATATAGAATTGAAAATATTTGGATTTGGAAAGGTCTTTCAGGAAACGATATACCTCTCCTGCAGGAATATCCATCTCCTTTGTAACCCCTCCGACAGAAACATTTTCCATTTATGCATCTTGCATGAGGTTCACATTCAGCACACATATCCACTGCAAGTAAAAAGCAATTTTGGCATCAATTTAAAAAATCAATCAAGAGTAATAATTAATGGAAACGGTGCCCTGCCATATATAGATATAGACTCATGTCGTTGAACACCGCCCTCTAGAAGTAAAAAGCCTATAAGTGGAATTAAGTGGTTGGGCTTTTCCCAATAAGTAATGAAACACCTACAATAACTACCATCGTAACAACCGGGCAGTTACTTTTTGGAGCTAGAAAGGGTTCTTCACGCCCTCAAGGGGCCTGTCCCGGAGTATGGTGCCAGAGTATTCTGAAGTTTGTAGGTGGATTAGCCCACCTGGACTTATTTCATCGAAACTTTATAAGCCCTCAATTTCCTAAATATTCAGGTAAGGGGCCTGTCCTGTTTATGACCCAGCACTCATCAAACCCCTGCACTCTGAGCATGTGATAGGGAGTCTTGAAGATGTACGTACTGAAAATGAGATGAATCGACATGAAATGCATGCTTTCGATTCATCTCTGACCAACTGAACATTCTTTATTCACTCCACGCAATTCCATAACTTACCGTCACAAAACCTTCCTTTAAACCGAGGATTAGGGCAAACACAATCAAAGTCCTGGTTGACTCCTGTTTCTTTGCACAGGCCGCCATTGAGACAAGGATTTGGATGACACGCAGCTTTAGGTGGAGCTGTTGTGTTATAAGAGAAAATATAGAGGACAGAGGAGAACTTTGAAACAACCACGGCAAATCATTGAGGCCAGCACTTAACTGTACTGGATTTAAGTAGTGCTTTAAGTCAATATGATACTCCCAACAATGTATAAAGGCTACTTTTATTCAACGGAGTCCAATCACAGTTATTTGCGCAACTGCCAATCTCCGCAAAAGGTAAACTCTGCGTTGGAACAGGTGGTTTCTAATGACAGAGTTCTGCCAGTTTCTGTCTTTTTAGATAAATAGGAATATTTGTTCTAGCCCATGGATGGGATATTAGCCATCGCCGGGTTTTAACTAATCAGAAGTAACTAAAATGAAAACTGTCAGTTCATACCAGTTGTAGGAGTAGTTTTCTTTTCACAGAGCCTGCCAGAGGTGTGTTCTGGGCAGACGCAATAGAATGTGTTTTTTCCTTCGATGCATGCTGCTCCATTCAAGCATTTGTTTGGAGAACAGCTGTTTGGAAGTTCAGAGGGCGTGGTTGTTGGGGCCTCTGCAAATTAAATTGTAATCAAGCAAGCAAGCAAGCAAGCAAGTAATCAATCCATCAGTCAGTCAATTTGAATAAATCACTACTGAGAAACCCAAAAAAACAGTACTTATTCCCGCGTGAAGTGTTTTAGCTTCATGTGGCAGATAGGGTCGACGAGAATTGAAACGTGCAGTACTCAATTACTTTTAGTAACAACTAACAGGTTTTAAAATTTATAATTTAGATGATTTTTACTCTCAAACGAGGTTAGTGAGGCTAATTTAAATACATACAAAGTAATTTTAAATTGACAGTCACTTATGGAAAGGGTCTATAGAGTTAGCGATCCGACTCTCCTGAAGTCGAGCATGATATTAATTCCGCGAGTAGCATCGATGAACTGTCTAACGAGATGGCAAGTATTTTAAAGTTATAATTTGATAACTTACTTCCTAGTTCTTCCGGTTCGTTGCATGTTATTCCGTCACCGGTGTAAGGGGGTCGACATTTACAAATTCCCTCATCACAAAATGCGTGTTTGTCGCATTTATTACATTTGTTTTCTGGAGAGAAGTAGATCCAAGGAACATAACATCACTATCTAAAAACATACAGGAGAATGCACAAGACTGATTCTACTTAATGCAATACATCAGTTATCTTGACCTGTGGGGATATCTCTTACTTAAGCCTACTCTATTTGCAATTTAAACGAGCGAGCGATATAGATATTTTTTTCCATATGGAATGTCCTTAAAATAGTGTATCTTTCTTTTCCACGTGCTTTTTCCATCAAGAGCGTTTTTCACCACAAATGAAAGTGGTTTAGACATTTCCAGGTTGTTAGGAAAGAGCTCTTCACAGCCCTTGAAAGACGTCATCATAACAAGACGAAAACTTTGCAGTGGTAACGGTGGCACTGACAAGATTTAACATGCGCTCTTCAATTTAATTTAGCATCACGCAGCAAACGTATTTTTGCATGAGGTTATTGGGCAAACGCTGCGTCTCAAAAGGGAAATATATGTTGAAAACGTTTGAGTAACCTCGAAAGGTTCACCCTATGCTTTCCGCTTTTTGGAGTATCAGGCTATCTAGATAAAATAACAAAACAGCAGCAACAACTACATACAGAGAGAGATTGTTTTGCAAGTGTTTACCTGCGCAAGTCGGACCTTCATACTGGATTGGACAAACACATTTTACTTCGCCGTTGGTGAATTCACATTTTCCGCTATTTTTGCAAGGATTCCTGTTTTCGCCGTTCTTTGGTAAACAGTAATTATCGACTGAAACGTTAGAAAGAAGAAAAAAATTAGTAAAAAGCGCTAGTTTTTTTTTCTGTTTAGACAAACTAGGAAATTAGCACTGATCAACAAACTTTAGGCTGCGTTTGAATGGTCACACACTGGGCCCACGCTAGAGGGGTTTTGCTGATTGATTGTCCAAAGTAATACCACAATTACTTTGGTTTTGATTATGGTTATGCTGCGGTTAGAGATTGGCTGAGTAGCCTAATTGGTGAGAACTTTGTTTGGTTTTGGTTTTATGACACTCGATAGCCCATTTCTGAGTTGCCTTAAGCCTCTCTATCATAGCGAGGTCTGGTGCTGAACCATTCATATGAAAATGAGTTTAATGTGCATGTGAATGAAATCCTATGAAAATGGTTTCATATGAAATGATGGGAACCAAGAAGCGCTTTGAGAAAGAGGCTACAGGTAATTCGGAAATGGCCTATTGAAAACCGCTCTATTACCACGACCAAATTCATTTTGACTCTAGCTGTAAAAGACGTAAGTGAGGAAGACAGTAAACATTTCAGTATAAAGTTCAAAATATACTTAGAAAATAAATCCCAATAGACTTCTTACGTAGACATGTTGGGCCTTCCCATGGGGCTGGGCAAATACAGCGTTGCTCATTATATGTGGATTCACATGTTCCTCCATTGTGGCACTTGAAATTGGAACATGGGTCGAACACTACAGTTCAAAAGTAGGTTATAAAGGATATCGTTAAGTAAGTAATTTCACAGACATTTGAAGTTAGTAGTTCAACAGACCTTCGGTCGACTTCGATACTGTTGGAGGTATCAGTGAAGTTATATAGGAAATCAAATAGTGTCTAGTGAAATTTGAAAATAACTTCGGCAAGGTTACGTCGTAACGTAAGTGAGATCATCTTGGTGTTTCAAACCTCTTTCATACCAAGAAATCAAGAAGAAACTGCTAGTATATGCCCTATTTTAGTCTCGAGTAGTGCCACCATTAAAACCTCTTATTTGCAGCCTCCCTTTTAAGTGCAGCAATTTTTAATTGCATGGACTCTTTAACTGCAGCAAATTCTTTATTAAACGTTTTTCTAGCTTCTGCAAATCTTTTAATTGAATATCATTTTATACTTGCAGCAACTGCGATATTTGACACGCGTTTTTATTTTTACAAGTTGTCTGTAACAAACTTCTAGAATCAACTTTTCTGTAGTTTGTATTACGTTCATGTTTTATTGTTCGTATAGAGGGCAGAGTTTTATCTGTGGTAGCTTTCGTTTTATTTTGTTACCCATGAGGGTCACATAGAGAAATCGAAAGACCATAATCATTTATTTCAGAGTTTAACACAAAACATACCATGACACCGTCTTCCACTGTATCCGTTTGGACACTCGCACCACCAGTCAGGCTGATGCGAGTCGACGGCATCCTCATCACGGCAAGTGCCACCATTCTCACAGGGGTTGGGATGACACTGCGAGGGTTCTAAAATCGAAATATTTAAGTGTAGCTTAACAGAGGTCATATGATTGCATTGAACCCGTTGAATGTAGTCTTGGTAACGGAACAGTTCAGGCAACAGCTTTTGGGTCACGCAGCTGCACGTCACGCGTTGTTTTGGTGCTAAGTCACCCTATTTGAGAACTATTATTTGAGTTAAAATGAAGATGAGCATAAGTTCATAGGAGTCAGACCCCGCTGTTCTTGATAGGACTACTCCTGCTACTCCTTGGTTTTTATCACTTACAAGTAGTTTGGTCTTCGATCCATCACAGATTAACCCAGATCATAGAGGTTTGTTACGAAACGTGAATATACCGAACGAATGCCACTAGCTAACTCGCGATTTCTAGTATACCTAGATACTGATGTAAACTCGCAACACGAAATTAAGTTGAACTTAGGGTACATACTTGGTCTGCAGATCTTTCCGTCACCCAAGTATCCTTGTCTGCACATACATTTACTGGAAATGCAGACAGCATGATGATGGCAGCCATTACAACTGCTTTCCTGGAAAAAATCTGTACAGAAAAACATGGGAAATACCTTAATTAAGCGTTGATACTGAAGCAGCATTTCTATAACAAAACCCTACATAAATAAAAGAGGAACTGTTTTCTTCCAGCGCTTATTTTCATCCTTTGGTTTTGCTACAAGTTTAGCCCTCGGGGAAAAAAAAAAAAAGAATTCTTACAGCCCCGCTTATCTTTTTAGCGAGTTTGGATTTTGTTTCACGCAAAGCTGAATGAGTGTGCTTGACCAAATACAATTTTTCTATCACTTTTCTTTAGAATTAAAGGCTCAGTGCAATGAACGACGAAAGAAGTAAGATTGTGTTTGGACTTACGCTCGCAGTGTGATCCCCCTCGACCTTCCGGACACAAGCAAGAGTAATCTTCTCCATTTGGTAGACAATGGCCGCCAAATAGGCAAGGGTTATTGGGCATGCAAGGTGATGTAGCAAAGGCAAGAGATTCGAAACCTTTTTCTGCAAACAAAAAATTAAGTTAAACGTGCTGTTGCTTCTCATTTTGGTGCTGTTCTTACGGCCAACTATGGAACCCAAAATAAAGACATTTGTCAAATTTTGGCATCCTAGTGCACGAACTGAAACTTGGGTATTTCCCATATATATAGGACTCATATACGATCTTCTTTATCTCATGTCTACATTAATCAAGAGCTAGCGAAAGCGCATAAAACTAATTCTTTTGCCTTCCAATGCTGGTAGCTGCTTCGCTGAGCGTACAGAAAATTTACTCACAGTTTCAAAGCTTCTCCTTGTGACACAAGCAGCTACTTTCTTTTATTCATATGGACTGCGTGTAAGGCCTAACGCCTTAGATGTAAAGGCGTTGATCATACCTGTCCTGCAAACTCCTTTGATGCAAATCCCTGGACTAGGGCAGCTACCACATGCAAGATCTGTTACCATGCAAGTCACGCAAGGATTTTGCAAAAACAATTCATTTCATTATAAAACCAATAAGAACAAAGCTACCATAAGAATGGAGATGGCGGGGAGTATAGTTTGGCACCCATTGATTCACTGCGGAAGTTCACGAAGAGAATTGCATAAATGTATTTATTTATATGTTATATATCATTGTTAGACGCCGCTCAAAACATATTGAGCTGTAACAAAAAAGTAATAGTTTTATCTGTCGGGAAGATAAAGAAATAACTACTCTATATTTATGATTGGGCACGGTGTTACACTTGCGCCTCATTCTTTTTCCCAATGGTCGCGATCAATTTTGCCACACACAAAAATATCGTGAATCCTGATTCCTGACTCAAAGGATCGTGGTCTCTGGAAACTGTTTTCAATCTTTATCCAATCAGATTATGTACTTTACTGGTGCCATGTAATAAGAACCTCCACTTCAGCTTACCTTCGCAGCTTAGTCCTGTAAAACCTGATGAACAGTAGCAAGAATATCTGGTCGAATCATAGACGTCAGCAATGCACGTAGCGCCATTTCGGCACGGATAACTATCACAGGCGGTGTTTGTTTCTCGAACTAAGGAGAATAAAAAAAAATTAATTTAATTTATTGTGTGGTCACCTTCACTAGCGGACAAAAGAAACCAAATCGGCCTATTGCACTAATTATGCAAATGTTTATTTTCTGTTGAATTAATACCTTCACAGTTTATTCCATTGTATCCATCTTTGCAATTGCACTTATAACCGATCAGATCTTCAGTACAGATGCCTCCATTTTGACACGGGTTGACGGGTAAACACTTGGATTCCTCTGTGAATTAATGGCCTCGAATTGTTCATTCAGTTGTAAACATTTTTGAACAATATAACACGACACGAGTTCACTACTCAGAGAAGTGTACACAACATAGCGCGTTTTAAAAAGTGTGTTGGTTATAAAAAAGAAAGAAAGAAAGAAAAACGAAAATTAAATGTGACATTTCGCGACCATTAAACATGTGAGCTTTACGCTAGTTCCTAAAAGATGAAAACAGTTACCTTAAAGCTGAAAACAAATGTTTAATGAAAGTAGACGAAGGTCTCTTTAAATGGATATTTATAGCGATATAAATATATCATTAAACATACTGGAATTACTCACGTTCGCAATTTTTACCCATGAAGCCAGCCGCGCAAGAACACGTATAACTTTCAATGTTCTCAGTGCACACTCCCCCGTTCCTGCATGGGTTGGGCTCACACTTGCTTTCCACTGAAGATACGATATACACACTTTTAGGAAAGATTTGTAAAACTATGCAGGTTACTTTAAAAGCTATAGAAATCTATCCCGACGTACATTAAGCTCACTCGCAATACCCGGTTTTAACTGATTCAATGCAATTCAAATTTTCACCTGTTTCCAGATATTTAGGCAACAACAACAACAATCTTTTAGGCCTGAGATTGTTTTCCACTTTGGATGACAGAGGGGTCAACACGGACAGATTTTCAGAAGGAGGGACTTCTTTGTAACAGTGTCAGTAACCACAATGATTAATTTCTGTCGGGCCGGAGTTCATGTCCAGAGTTGATTAACAAAATATATATTCGATATTAATGCAGCCGACTTAGGGCCCGTCAACACTAACCAGGAGGAATTTGAAAACGGAGGTTTCACTCTGAAGACGCATCAAATGTTTTCCGTCCGCACTACGCCGGAGGAATTTGAAAACGCAACAATCACCGGTCATTTTCCATTTGTGTTTGAGGAAAACTCGGGCAGGCAAATCACGTGATTATCGTAACGTCATCGTTTACGAAAAGCTTCATTTTCACGATGTTTTTCGTCCGCACTAAAGCGCAAAGCGGGCGTGGATAAAAGTCCTAACCAGAGAAATGTCAGCTCCGTGTTCTAATTCGTTCGGCGTGGTCTTCAGTGAAAAATTGTCCACTAGTTTATTCCGTTATCAACTTATCAAAATGCAAAATATTTCAAAACTGGCGTTCTCGAAGATACAGGAAAATAGCATTTATCTTCTTACTGTCGCATGCCTTTCCGTGGAAGCCTGTGTGACAAGTGCATTCGAAATCGTCAGGAAGCTCGGTACATTTGCCAAAGTTCTTGCATGGATTTGGTGTGCAACTACTTTGGACTGAAAAAGTGCAACAACAAGACATTAGATACTGCTTCACGAAGGAAATTTATTTGACCTTCAGGCCTGTCTAGACCTTATTTGAACACTATTCTCTTGGAAAGTAATTAAGCTACCCATGCGGACTCGCTGTTTTTGGCAAAGTGAATAGAAGTTAAAGAACAAGCATAGTCTACTGTAACCCAATGTTTGATTTTTTTTAAACCACGTAGCAATGTTTCGATCTCTTTGAGATCATTTTCAAGTTGAAGAAAAAACGAATGAAATATACATATATGAGTACAAATTAGGGCGTGAGAATGTCAAACGATAAAATATGTAAATACAAGCGCTAAAATGTAAGTGTTAAAATAATAAAATACTATAAAGAACCTATATAAATAACTTTGCACGGATTGAATCTACAAGTGTAGTTTGTGTGATGCAAACTATGTCGGGTACACGTGCCGACACCTCTATCAACGCGTTGAGGAATACAAAGGATCGTCTTCAATCGGGAATCACATCAAAGAGCAGCATGGGACAGTCCCAAGTGACATATATCGTGATTTTAAGATCTTGAGAAAGTGCCAAGGTAAATTCGACTGCCTGATCTACGAAATGCTCTTTGTAAAGGAGCTTAAGCCAACCTTCAACAAACAGTCAGATTCAATCCGTACAAAGTTATTTATATAGGTTTCTTTATAGTATTTTATTATTTTAGCACTTACATTTTAGCGCTTGTATTTACATATTTTATCGTTTGACATTCTCACGCCCTAATTTGTACTTATATATGTATATTTCATTCGTTTTTTCTTCAACTTGAAAATGATCTCAGAGAGATCGAAACGTCGTTTTTTACCGCTAGTTTTTATTCTGAAATGTTTTTCAAAAAAACTACTTATAAGAACGTATCAATGAGACATGTAAATCCAGCCCAGGTCGCTTTACGATTAACGGCACCGAATGTAATATGTACAATAATACTGCTAGTTTCTTTGTGTCGGAACTTTTCCATGATTTTCACAATGACATCACTCTGACAGCGAAACCGTGCGGTATTCGTCAAGTAGTCTAACTTAAAAGTTGAAAGTGATTAATTAAAGACTTTCACCTTCACATCTGTCTCCCTTGTATCCCAATGGACAAATACATTTGAATTCGGTGACCACTGCTGTACAAGTACCTCCATTTCTGCACGGATTAACACCGCAAGGGTCAATAACTGCAAAATATATATATAAAAGGAATGAATAGGAGTAATAGGGCGTCATGGGATTAATGCCATTAAGGCTATCGAATGTTTTAAGGAGAATTTCGAATGTAGCTTATCATTTATTCGAAACTTAATGGCTAGTCTGCAACTGTAGGTCTCTAAAGCAACACATTGTTCCCCAGCAGTGTTTACACATTCAGCAGTGGCTTCATATGTTTTTGTTAAAACGCTGTTGTAAGTGTTATATTTTACACACAGTAGAATATTTTCTTTGCATTCTTTGAACGATACCGTAGATCGGCGAAAGCTTGGACTTAGTAACCGTAGTTGAAGGCCTCAGTCGAATCGTTTATTTAACCACCTCAATATGCTACCGAAGGGCACTTGAAACGTTTACTAACTCCTAAGTGTTGATGATAGACCATTTTGAATCGATTGACGCTTTTCTGAAATAAGTAGAGTTCTTTAAATAGAATTAAGACTCACTTGGACTGGAAAATTCTCTGTGATGCACGATAAGGAATGGCGGAGGCCTCGGAATGAAAGGCATAGGAACAGGTTGAGGTGGTAACGGCGCTGGGTGATGGACAACGACAACCCTGGGAGGTCCGTTCACTGGCACTGGGACAGGGGGGTGGATCGGTCTGTTTACAACTATCACACGGTCCCCACGATGAGCAGGTCCAGAAATAAAAGGCGGCATTTGTGCTTGTCCAAATGGCCCAACTGGACCTGAAACTGCTCCGCTTTCTAATCCACCGAGTGCCGGGTAACCCTCTCTGTTTCCATCTTTAAAAATCACTGGAGAAGAAAGATATCTGTGTATGGGAGGACTGGGGTAGCGGTGCTGAGCTGGCAAAAACTTGTGGACAGCTGGAGCAAAGTAGTGGGTTGAATGAAGCACCCGTTGTTGTGGTCTGGCAGCCATAGGATCTGCAAAGAAACTGTCAGGGTTTCCAGCTAGCTGCATGGTTTCACCAGATATTCCCACGGCGTTTCCATTACCGAACGCATTAAAGCGGTTAGTATTTGTGATTCCTCCAGAAATTTGCTGCCTTTTCTTTTCCTTTGGGATATCTGAGTCGATGGGCGCTTTAGAGTCAAATGTGATAACGTTTTGCTTTGTCGAATTCACATTAATTGGGCGTGATCTTTGTGTTTTTAATCTTACCCTGTTTCGGGACCTTTTAATAAGACCATCCTCGTCCCGTGCCGACCCGTCAGAGAATTTAAAATCCCAACGCTCAGGAAGCGATGGTGCATTAAAATGATCAGGAATTTTTCTCCTTCGTTGATACATTTTGTTTTTAGTTTCCTTTCGTGGGTAGCTTCCTCCCAGTTTGTCAAATGTTGTATAAGATGTTGTTATCGCCGAACTTTTCCCAATTATTTTGCTAGTGGAAGTAATATTTTTCCTCGAATTAAACTCAAAGTCGTCTCTTTTTTTCACTTTGCTCTCCTTTAAATCATGTCTTCCTTTTGGTAAATCTGATAAATGTTGTTTAGAGTATAGTTGGAGATTATTATGTCTTCCATGAGGGTGGGATGGTTTCACGACGGTTCTTTGAACTTCTACTTTGGTCTTATCCTTTCTCGTCATTCGGTCCAGAAATGTGACTTCCACTGAACCAGCGAACAATGCCAGACCTACCCACACTACTACTGTAGCCCAAGCCATGAGCCTAATGACTTTCACCAAAGAAAGCCTAACGTTACATGTATACTCTTATATCTCCGCCATTTCCAAGTTTTGCTTTTGCTTACTTCTCGTAACGTTATGCATAATGCATCACAGTCAATTGTTTGAAGGTCCACATGACATCATTGTTTATGGACACGCCCTATTACTCCTATTACTTATCGAAGTGTCTCATACATTGATTAACATAGCAACATAGCAGGCTGCGAAAGATGAACAAAATTCAAACTTTTTTTTTACAAATGCTGACTACTTTGAGGTTGTTAGGTAGCCGCTATGTTTGCTGTTTCACCTTACCAGTGTTTGTTTTTCTTCAGTGTTTGCAAATATATATATTAACACCTGCCTTGACCAGAATGACCTATTTATTTAGGGCTAAGTGGAGGTCATTTAGATGAATCCTAAATGCTAGACGTGGTTTTGCTTCACTGATCATATTCTCATTATGACGGGTTGCATTGTCTTCTCGGGCCATTTACCCAGGTTGGTCAAACAGAAAAAAAAAGGCAATGGCAATCAACCAGTGGTGCGCGTTCTATATATATTCTTCAGCTGTCTAGATTCAAGGTCAAAACGCCATGCCCGGGTTATTCAAAAGGTGGATAACGTTATCGAGTGCACACATAACATGTTTTTGGTAACACTTATCCGGACGATAGCGTTAATTATCCGGCCTTCGAACACTGGGTTAGATTTTTACGTAATAATTTCTATGCATTTCTTTAATTTTAGTCCTGAGAATTTAGTGGTTCATTAACTAAAGATAATGAATCGTACCTGTTGATGTTCTTTACACTTGTCACTTGATAATGCATTGATGTTGAAATGGAGAATTTGACGTTGGATACGAGCTTTTATATCTGGTCAACCGGATAGTCGAGAACCATATAAGAAATTTACCTTCCTTAAGCTCCTCCCAAAAGGAAATTTAAAATGCGCAAACGTTTATGTACACATACAATGTTAGCAGATGCAATATTTTGAGTATCGCAAACGCCCTGGCTTTTTTATGTATCTTAGACATAGACATGGACATGTCTATGTCTATTTAGACTATAGATAGGACCCTGCGCGCGCTCTGATTGGTCAAAAACCCATGTTTTATCAGTGTATAAAACATAGAAAAAGCGTGTTTTATTGCTTTTCGCCGCATTACTTATGTATCATAAAGGAAATGATAATCCGGACATTTGAGACTCCGGACATTTGTGAACACTCGAGAAATGTAGAAAACACTCGCCTGCGGCTCGTGTTTTCCACACTTCCCTGGTGTTCTCAAATGCCCATCGTGTTTTATCACAGTATAATACACGGCTTAGGCTTCTTTATTTGTTAAATATTTTGTGGCTATGTTCTCATAATATATTTTGAGGATTAAACCATGAAAAATTTAAAAAAAAATCAGGATCAACTTACAGTTTAAGCTTTATTTTATGCTGAAGTTAGGTTTGAAAACTAATATATTTTTAGTTTATTATTAGTGGTTGGTCGCATGTTTTTACATGAAGGGTTTTAATTTAACTCTAGTCCAGTTGTCGAGATTGAAAAAATTTCTGGCGGGCAAATTTATATTAGGAATTCGTATACCCGATAAGGAAAGAGGCTTTTGCTTGCTTCCGAAATTAACTGAATAGATTCCGTCAATATTATAAATGCTGAAAAATTTTCAAATCCTTATATTTAGATCTGACAGCTAAGCTTCAAGGCCTGCAAGAGTAGTTTAGATTTTAATACTTAGCCTAGAAGTTCTCGCTTGTTATCTGTTTTATTCTTCACTATTTTAACCATCCTTCCCTTTTCGTTTTCTGGTTACATCTCCAGCTATACTGAGGACAACGTTTCTTTCACAAAAGAGTTTATTACTTCATTGAATTCATTACCTTATGAGTTGAGTGTTTACTTTTATTGCCAGACGGTTTTCCTTATCTGAGAACTCTTCAAAGTAGAATCTGCCAAAGGAACAAATCAACGTTGACGATGAGATTCATTATTTCCGAACCATGAGGAAAATGCGGTTACGGAGAGACCTCACAATCTAATTGTTAAATAGCATCCATTCTCCATTTTAGGGGGAGACCATTTGACTTTTGAGGGGGTGGGGGTGATTTTGGTACAGGAACTAATCTTTTTGTAAAAACCCTTTCATGATCATGCGCTAGGGAATTTTTTCCTCAGGCCGTATGTGTGCATGATATTCTTTTCTCCATGGTACATATTTTTTTCGGCTCACTGACCGTACAGTGATCGTGGGTATGAATTTTTTTGGTACGAGTTACTTTGCTTTCAGGACATTACATTTTTTAAATCACCAACCCCTCCCTGAAATATCATATGGTCCACCCCTAAGTTGACATACAATGGAATATTCGTTATTAAGTATCGTATCTGAATAAAAGTGTAAACATTACATTTTTTAAGTACTGATATATCAATTCCTGATAGCATTTTCAACCGCTGTAAAGTTTTATATGTGGTACATGTTCCGACAGATAAAATTTATAGTCAGTTTTTGTCAAGAAGAAAAATAATATTAACGAAGGGGAAAAAATTAATCTCACCGCTTGACTTCGAACAGTATCATAGAAACCGCATCCGTGGCATTGAACTGTTCACCATTATTGTTCCATGGTTTGCGCATTCTAGGCTATTCGGTGTCTTTTCTTTATTTTTTCTCTCCTTTTCCTTTGGAATTGGTGCTACTCGTCGGCTTCTGCTCTTGCTAAATCTACGGACACCCCCATGGGAAGTCAAAGCTGCATGCCTTGGCCTTGGTATTACCAGAAAGGGTGGTAAGATGACACTGGCAACCTGGTTACCGTTTTGGCATTTGGATATTTGGTCTTTGGGGCCAACTATCTTTCTTTTGAATTTCCTTTTCTTCTTGCAGGTCAATCGCATAAAAATGAAAGGGTTTGCAACGTACATAACAAAGAGCAATACCTGTAAATATATTCGCATGTCATTGCAAAACAGGCAGGTTTTGATACCACCGACACGCAAGGCAAATGACCATAGAAGTGTTGGGGCCACGCTCACCAGGTAGGTTGCAACAATTTTTATGGTCAAAAAAACCATACCTTTCTCCGAACGTGTGCGCTTTTGTTTAGAAATGTTAAGCCGCCCAGCTAGGTTTCTCATCGATTTTAGTGAATACCAACTAGTGAACAAGACATAGCTACATGTAAGTACAAAAACAACCATGAGAAGAACTGACATTGGCTCAGAATAAGGGCCTTCCACGGATGAAATCAGAATGCAGTTCGTAGAATCTATTTTGATAACGAGATGAAGAAGTCCAACCAGGAACGGTACTAGCCAGATTATGGAGAGATAACGGTTCACGTTACCTTTGGTGATTCGCCGTCGAAATGGTCTGCATATAAAGTCGTAGCGGTCCAAGCTCAGAAAACAAATATTAATGCTGTTGGTCATGAAGGCGTAGGTGAGTGAGAAATACCTTGTTCTGCAAAGAGCAGCTGGTACTTGAGTACATTCGATGAACGACAGAAAAATTGTAGAAAAAAGGCTGGGCATTCCAATCAAACTGCTCAATGCGCCGATTAGGCAAAGGCTTTGAAGTAAGATTCGATAAATTGTCCTGTGATGGCAGGAATGTCTTAATCTTGCAAAGAGTGCTGTATTGGCGAAGAATCCTAAAAGCATTTCCAGTCCTAAGATGATTAACGATGCCTTGATCGTTGAAGTAGAGTATCGTGAAGCAATACGGGAAGAATTGTCATGGAAACATTGAAGCTGCTTCAGTGACTGCAACGCAGAGTTATTGAAATTATGAAACATTATCCTTCTCACAGGCAACAACACACCTTTGCTGGATGGTTTTAGTAATACTGGAGAAAAGAACTACTGGAGGAAAATAACTGGCACAAGACTTCCGCTCGCACGAAATTAAAACTTGATTATTTTCGATGATGTAAACGAGGCCGAAAACCACAATGGACTTATCTGAAAGCTTTAATTTGACGAAAACTCATTGTATTCAACATATAGTTATGAAAAACCTTGAAAAATAATTGCCGGAAGCCGAAAAGAAAATATTAAATAAATTGGAAAAAAATGCAATTGATGGTCAAGTTATATTTGCAGGGTAAGTAAATGTGCTATTTTCGAGCCTGGGTTGAAGTTGGCCTCGTCCAGCCTTTTTCAGCGTATAGTATCAGGTGTCAAATCAATAAAGTTAATGCTGGCGATGAGGTTGAAAGCATCTTAATCTAAGAACGTACAATGGAGATAAGACATACTGCGCTTTCCGTTTCTATTGTATTGCACTTCCTTTTGTTATCTTTGACTAAGTGAATTTGTTGCTCATCTTTATTTATAGTTGAAAAATAACTCGAGAAAAAGTGATTCACTACCAAAAGACACTTTCGTTAACAAGTGCAACGTGATATTAACACGTCCTTAATTTTCCTAAAGGCCAATCGGTTAAAATTGTTATTAAAAAAAGAAAACTGTTAAGTGTAACAAAAAAGTGTGACAGAAAACTGTTAAGTGTAATAGTGTCATTGGCGTTAACTTCAAGGGATAGGTTACGGACTACACTTGACGGTCTCCTCATCGGTTTTTTTTTTTTTTTTTTTTTTGCTGAAAGGAAATGCTGAATCTGCGGAAAATTTCGATTACAACCTGCATCCACGAAATGTGTACGCCAAAATCCGTTGGCAAGTTACTTCAATTCAAAAACTTTTTTGACACAGATAACGTTGCGACTGATTCTTTGACCACAGAAATAACACAGACTGCCTGTTGAATATTTAATGTGAGATTTTTTTAAAACAGATTTCAACCTGTATAAATTAAAATGGTTTTGAAACCGCATCCAGATGAAATTATTAAGTAAGCCCTTTTAATAACGTTATTCACAGCACCGAAGTCAAAGAACTTTCAAATTTGGAATCACGTTCATCGCGGTCAATAATTCAATAACAATACAAATAGTCAGCGACATAAAGGATCTACTTTGTGAAGGTCCTTTTCGACCTAGCGTATATTCGAATGGAAATTAGACCATCTGAACTCATGGTAAAGATGAATGTAATACATTAAATAATTGATTATTCACCGAATCGGAGGCGAATATTGGAAAATAGCTGAGCGAGTTGCCAAGGGTCAAGCTTAATACACTCAAGTTTTCACGTTCACTATGGAAGCAATGTCCTCACTTATATATTATGTCAGTCAACGGAGAAAAAACGTTCAATGTGACATTTTATTAAGGAGCTGTACGGTTTTGACTAGCTCTTGCA